CAACTCCAGGCAGGTGGTGCCCTGGTTGGGATTCAAACCAACGACCCTAGTCCTGCCGGGTGGAAGTGCTAACCATTTAGCCAAAGTGCTGCTTCCTTAGGAACCATTGACAGAGGGAAAGCGGTGATATATACAAATGGTAGAAATGCCTTCCATATACGTATGATGCTCAGCTTCTGCTGAATAGGCCATAGTTCTTGTATTTGTTTGAATGCCATACAGCCATAGTTGAATTTGGACCGAACTGTTGGCTCATCCCCAGGGGCAGACTGACCATTTGGAAGCTCGGGCACTGCCTGAGGGCCCGGGGTCAGTAGGGGGCCCCATGAGATGCCCCTGGTGCCTTTTTCATAGGCTTTTTTGAGTTTGGGCAAGGACACAGGGGCCCCATGATCCCCTATTGCCCGGGGGCCCCATGAGTTGTCAGTCTTCCCCTGCTCATCCCTATCCAGGAAGGGGGGGGGATTATGTCAGGCAGGCAATATGGGGCCCCACTATTTCATATGGCAGCCTGGCAATACCCCACAGTATAAGCCGGCCCCTGAGGATTCTTATAGAGGGAGTGAAGCCACACCTCGCTCTTTCTGTTCTATAACCTATAAGAAACCCAAGTTGTGAGCCGGCCATTATTGTTTAAGGCAGAAGCAGATACAACCAAAGTGCCAGATATTAATGAAAAGTATACCTTATGGCTTCGCTCCAAGCTGTGGATGGAAGGAAAAAAAATCACCCCTCCGGCAAGTGCGAAGAAGGGAGCATGAGTCCGGGCGATTCCAGTGTCAGCCAATACAAGTGAAGGGATGGACGCTGCTCAACGACCCCAGAAGTGAAGGATGGACGCTGCTCAACCAACCCCAGAAGTGAAGGGATGGACGCTGCTAAACCGACCCCAGAAGTGAAGGGATGGACGCTGCTCAACCGACCCCAGAAGTGAAGGGATGGACGCTGCTAAACCGACCCCAGAAGTGAAGGGCTGGGCGCTGCTTAACTGACCCCAGAAGTGAAGGGATGGACGCTGCTAAACCGACCCCAGAAGTGAAGGGATGGACGCTGCTCAACCGACCCCAGAAGTGAAGGGATGGACGCTGCTTAACTGACCCCAGAAGTGAAGGGATGGACGCTGCTCAACTGACCCCAGAAGTGAAGGGATGGATGCTGCTCAACCGACCCCAGAAGTGAAGGGATGGTTGCTGCTCAACCGACCCCAGAAGTGAAGGGATGGGTGCTGCTCAACTGACCCCAGAAGTGAAGGGATGGACGCTGCTAAACCGACCCCAGAAGTGAAGGGATGGACGCTGCTCAACCGACCCCAGAAGTGAAGGGATGGACGCTGCTCAACCGACCCCAGAAGTGAAGGGATGGACGCTGCTCAACTGACCCCAGAAGTGAAGGGATGGATGCTGCTCAACTGACCCCAGAAGTGAAGGGATGGACGCTGCTCAACCGACCTCAGAAGTGAAGGGATGGACGCTGCTCAACTGACCCCAGAAGAGAAGGGATGGACGCTGCTCAACTGACCCCAGAAGTGAAGGGATGGATGCTGCTCAACTGACCTCAGAAGTGAAGGGATGGACGCTGCTCAACCGACCTCAGAAGTAAAGGGATGACCGCTGCTCAACCGACCTCAGAAGTGAAGGGATGGACGCTGCTAAACCGACCTCAGATGTGAAGGGATGATCGCTGCTCAACCGACCCCAGAAGTGAAGGGATGGGATCTGCTTCTTCCGACCCCAGAAGTGAAGGGATGGACGGTGCTAAACCGACCTCAGATGTGAAGGGATGGACGCTGCTCAACCGATCCCAGAAGTGAAGGGATGGACGCTGCTAAACCGACCCCAGAAGTGAAGGGATGGACACTGCTAAACCGACCTCAGAAGAGAAGGGATGAACGCTGCTTCTACTGACCCCAGAAGTGAAGGGATGAACCCTGCTCAACCGACCCCAGAAGTGAAGGGATGGACGCTGCTCAACCGACCTTAGATGTGAAGGGATGGGCGCTGCTCAACCGATCCCAGAAGTGAAGGGATGGACGCTGCTCAACCGACCCCAGAAGTGAAGGAATGGACGCTGCTCAACCGACCCCAGAAGTGAAGGAATGGACGCTGCTCAACCGATCCCGGAAGCGAAGGGATGGACGCTGCTCAACCGACCCCAGAAGTGAAGGGATGGATGCTGGTCAACCGACCCCAGAAGTGAAGGGATGGATGCTGGTCAACCGATCCCAGAAGTGAAGGGATGGACGCTGCTAAACCGATCCCAGAAGTGAAGGGATGGACGCTGCTAAACCGACCTCAGAAGTGAAGGATGGACGCTGCTCAACTGACCCCAGAAGTGAAGGGATGGACACTGCTCAGCCGACCCCAGAAGTGAAGGGATGGATGCTGCTCAACCGACCCCAGAACTTACCTCAGTCAGCAGGCGTTTCATGGACGTATTTTCACCCAGCAGCTGGTAGATCTGCTCCTCGCTGTACATCGATCTCATGCTTTTGCTGGGACTGTTGAAATATTTGGCCATGTGGACATTTGTGTGACTGGACTCCTCTTCCAACTGCCTCCACTGCAGCAGCTGGGGGAGACAGAAAAAATATTCACTTGCTGCTCACATGCGCCATAACATTGTAACTTCAAAAGCCATTGCTATTATTTTCAGATCATCAGCTTTTATTAAAGTAATACCTGGTGATCCCACTACCGCCTTGGCCAGGCACTTCCTGTTAGAGGGTGACAACGCTCTGTTCCTCTTGCCCAAAGGTACTCCTGTGTTGTCACCCTGTCGCACAGGCTTTAAATCGAGAATAGCTTGGTGATCCAGACAATTCCTTGGCTTCTTGTCCCAGGGTAGAAAAGGCCCCCTAAGCAGGGCCTGCGTTGTCCCCTCCAGGAAAGTGCCATCCCTGTGCAGGGCCGGTGCCAGACTATTTTGCGCCCTAGGCGAGACTAGCTACTTGCACCCTCCCCTCCTAAAAAAAAATCAACCTTCACCTGTAGTTCGACTTTGCCCATACTAGCACACATCCTCTTTCCCCTCACATTTTACCCAAGCATAAATCCCTCTCCCCCAAACCCCCCCTCCTAGCATAAATCCCCCCAATCCCATATCCTAGCACAAATCCCCTTAAACCGCTCCTCCTAGCACAACCCCATCCAAATTACTCTTCCCAGTACAAATCCTTGCTCCCCGCCTAAATTCCACATCCTAGCACAACCCCTTCCAATTCCTCCTCTTAGCACAACCCCCCCCCCCCCCAACACAAATCCCTCCAATCCCACTCTCTTAGCACAAATACTCCCTCCCCCAATCCCCTCTACTAGCACAGCCCACCCCAATCCCTCCTGTAACCCAAATCCACCCCCCCCCCCATTCCTTCCTCCTAGGACAACCCCCCCAATCCCCTCTCCTAGTACAAATATCCTCCATTCCCCCTCCTAACACAAATCACAAATTCCCGAAATCCCTACTCTAACTAAAACTCCTCCATATTACCCTTCCCAGCATAAAATCCTCCCACTTTATCCAAATCTCACCCCCTATTGTAGCACAAATCCCCCCCATCCAAGCCTCCCTCCTACTCCTAGCACATATCCTCCTATTGCTTCTCTCAGCACAAATTTCCCCCCATCATCCCCATTACCCTTCCCAGAACAAATATCCCCCATCCCACTCCTGCCCAAACCACTCATTTCAGCGCAAATGATTGTCACCCCCCCCCCCCACTTTTCATTGTGTACAGTTCCCCTAGCCTGTGAGCTCCACCCCAGCACCCCCTTTATCTGGCGATGGTGAGAGTAGAGAAACCAGCGGCCGTGGCTGCGCCCTAGGAAGCAGTGCGCCCTAGACGGCTGACTAGTTTGCCTAGTGGTCCCTGTGGACTCCAAACTTACATAGTGACAAATGGTGAACCAACATTTACAGCTTGGAGTCCACAGGGGGGCAACAGGGCATGGGATGTTGAATGTCACTGGGAAGGGACCAGGGGCGGACTGACAACTCATGGGGCCCCCGTGCAATAGGGGATCATGGGGCCCCTGTGTCCTTGCCCAAACTCAAAAAAGCCTATGAAAAAAGGTACCAGGGGCATCTCATGGGGCCCTCTACTGACCCCAGGCCCTCGGGGAGTGCCCAAATTTCCAAATGGTCAGTCCGCCCCTGGAAGGGACACAAGGTGGACGAGGCCAAGGGGAGCACGTTGGACAGGCATGGCACATATGCTTTGCTAACAAAAGTGAAGCAATGAGGAACTGAATGATTGGCAAGCAGCACTATGTTACATTTTATGGTTTTGGATTTAATATCGCCTTAAGACACCTCATACAAGAATTGTGGCGGGCAATGAGCCAATCAGCTATGAGGAACAACAAGATTAACATTTTTATTTCCATAATAATGATCCTATGGAGAAAGGGCTTGCAATGATTGTCATTATACCGGATTTATATAACACCAGCAGTGTACTCGGTGCTTTATAAAACGATAGGAGACCGTGCAGCTACAATACCAATCAGTACACGAGGGTCAGGAGGGCTCTCCATGCTTCCTTTGGTACCTGTGGGATGAAGATGAGGCAGTTGATGGTGGTGGTACAGATGAGGATGCTGCCGGAGGTCACCCCATACACCAAGTTGGGCCAGGAGTGGAAGAATCGAGTGACTAAGAGCACGACCCCGGTGCCCACAACCACAAAGGTGGTGCCAACCATGATGACCAAAGACTGGTTCACCGGAGGAGTGCTGATGTTCTTGGTCAGGCCAGCCAAGTAACTTCCATAGAGGAGGAAAATACCCTGAAATGAACCAGAAAGATTCTTAATTATTATTATATTTTTTTCGCACTGTTTTTAAAAGATTATGTTTAATGTGCTTTCCTTGGTTATTGTTGATCACTTTTATTCCTATCACAAGGAATGTAAACATCCCTAGTGATAGAAATAAGCAGTGACAGGTACTCTTTAACCAATCAAAAAGTCCAATGATGCTCAACCTTTTTTCAGCCAAAGCACCCTTTATATTATGGACAGTCCCGAGGCACCCCTTCAGTCTTGCACAGGTGTACTGGATCCTCCCCTTCAGTCTTGCACAGGTGTACCGGCTCCTCCCCTTCAGTCTTGCACAGGTGTACTGGATCCTCCCCTTCAGTCTTGCACAGGTGTACTGGATCCTCCCCTTCATCTTGCACAGGTGTACCGGCTCCTCCCCTTCAGTCTTGCACAGGTGTACTGGATCCTCCCCTTCAGTCTTGCACAGGTGTAGCGCCCTCTCCCCTTCAGTCTTGCACAAGTGTACCGGCTCCTCCCCTTCAGTCTTGCACAGCTGTACTGGCCCCCTCCCCTTCAGTCTTGCACAAGTGTACTGGCTCCTCCCCTTCAGTCTTTCACAGGTGTAGCGCCCTCTCCCCTTCAGTCTTGCACATGTGTACCGGCTCCTCCCCTTCAGTCTTGCACAAGTGTACCGGCTCCTCCCCTTCAGTCTTGCACAGGTGTAGCGCCCTCACCCTTCAGTCTTGCACAAGTGTACCGGCTCCTCCCCTTCAGTCTTGCACAGCTGTACTGGCCCCTCCCCTTCAGTCTTGCACAAGTGTACTGGCTCCTCCCCTTCAGTCTTTCACAGGTGTACCGACTCCTCCCCTTCAGTCTTGCACAGGTAACGACTCCTCCCCTTCAGTCTTGCACAGGTGTATCGGCTCCTCCCCTTCAGTCTTGCACAGGTGTACCAGCTCCTCCCCTTCAGTCTTGCACAGGTGTCCCGGCTTCTCCCCTTCAGTCTTGCACAGGTGTACCAGCTCCCCCATGCACCTGGGGCCCCTAGGGGGTGCCCAGAGGTACCCATGCATTAAGACAGCCCTGGAGCCAGGAACAGTCCGGCTAAGGAGGAAAGAGCTAGATGATGCTGGACATCCCCCAACCAGGAAATGAGGCGGAGCTCTATCTGACCCTGCAGCTTCTCATGCACATTGTGAGAAGCTCACAATGTGCAGTGAAATCAGAGGAAGCAATTTCAGTCCAGGAGAGGAGCCGATACACCTGTGCAAGACTGGAGGGGAGGAGCAGGTACACCTTTGCAAGACTGAGGGGGGAGGAGCCGGTAAACCTGTGCAAGACTGAAGGGGAGGGTCCGGTACCCTGTGCAAGACTGGAGGGGAGGAGTCGGTACACCTTTGCAAGACTGAAGGGGAGGAGCCGGTACACCTTTGCAAGACTGAAGGGGAGGAGCCGGAACACATGTGAAAGAATGAAGGGGAGGAGCTGGTACACCTGTGCAAGACTGGAGGGGAGGAGCCGATACACCTGTGCAAGACTAGAGGGGAAGAGCCGGTACCACCTGTGCAAGACTGAAGGGAGGAGCCGGTATACCTGTGCAAGACTAAAGGGAGGAGCTGTTACACCTGTGCAAGATTGAAGGGGAGGAGGCGGTATAACTGTGCAAGACTGAAGGGGAGGAGCCAGTACACCTGTGCAAGACTGAAGGGGAGGAGCCGGTACACCTGTGCAAGACTGAAGGGGAGGAGGCGGTACACCTGTGCAAGACTGAAGGGGAGGAGCCGGTACACCTGTGCAAGGCTGAAGGGGAGGAGGTGGTACACCTGTGCAAGACTGAAGGGGAGGAGCCGGTACACCTGTGCAAGACTGGAGGGGAGGAGCCGGTACACCTGTGCAAGACTTAAGGGGAGAGCCGGTACACCTGTGCAAGACGGAAGGGGAGGAGCCGGGCTATACCTGTGCAAGACTAAAGGGAGGAGCTGGTACACCTGTGCAAGATTTAAGGGGAGGAGGCGGTATACCTGTGCAAGACTTAAGGGGAGGAGCCGGTACACCTGTGCAAGCGTGAAGGGGAGGAGCCGGTACACCTGTGCAAGGCTGAAGGGGAAGAGCCGGTACACCTGTGCAAGGCTGAAGGGGAGGAGCTGGTACACCTGTGCAAGACTGGAGGGGAGGAGCCGGTACACCTGTGCAAGACTGGAGGGGAGGAGCCGGTACACCTGTGCAAAACTGAAGGGGAGGAGCCGGTACACCTGTGCAAGGCTGAAGGGGAGGAGCCGGTACACCTGTGCAAGGCTGAAGGGGAGGAGCCAGTACACCTGTGCAAGGCTGAAGGGGAGGAGGCGGTATAACTGTGCAAGAGTGAAGGGGAGGCCGGAGGTCAGATTTAAGTATACCTTTAGGGAGTGTATAAAACCCCAGGTCTAATTTCATTCTTTTGCTGCCTGTGTCTTTTTGGTGAGATTTTCCATCACTTCCTGTCCAGGAGACAAAACTTTTAGGAATCTTTCCAAAATATAGGAAAATTGCTTCTTAGTTGTCTCCTAAATGGGTGTCCCCACTGTAAGATCTCCCCTCACTTCCTTTTCTGGTGACAACTGTAAAATGTGGGATTTCCCATCACTTTCTGCCACTGGGATAATGGTCACAAGGACCAGCAGAGAGGGCGATTTGCTCCAATGGCTGCTGAAAAAAAACACCCATCAGGGGTTCTAATTCTTCTCTGCTCCATCCAAAACACAAAAAAATGTTGGCTTTGGATGCATTTTACTCCAACAAAATTTTGGACGGGGAATTACTTGCAGAGAATTGCTTGTTAAGGATTAACCTGCAGCCCATGCAGTCCCTGTGATAATACGGCCACTGGATCTCCCTACCACATAACAGGACTGGCTAACCTCAACAAGGACAGTTGCTGAGCTCCTGCATACCACCGCTGGCCACTAAAACTGCCTTCCCACAAAAGGCACGACATGCCTGACAAAGGGGTCCTGCGTGGCTCCAAAACCTTGACTTTCTGTTGTGCTGTGATCTTTTTAGAATAAAAACCTTTTTTGGACCATATTGGAGATCCGTGGTGTGCTGGCGAATATGTACACATCCTACACTGGAAGCCGTGAATAATTCTGTTGGGTTCGGTCATAAAACATTCGTTGCACGAATATCAGAAGCATTTGACAGAGGTTACTGCCTGTATCTTCAGCTCCACCTAGTGGCCACAATGCAGTAGTTTTGTGAAATATCTCAAGGAGAAAACTATAGCACATTTTGACCTCTAGATGGAGCTGATGACACAGGAATGAACCTGACATTTCGTTCAGGGGGTAGGATTACTTCGGACATTCGTGCAACAAATGTTTTATGAATCGACCCCTATGTGTGTCTCAGCTCTGCTATTACCTTGAAGCCCAACAACAGGGTGACCCAGAAATCTGGGTAGAGGGAGGAGCAGGAGAGGGTTCTGGTCACAGCGCAGTGCGTCTCCCTCTCAGCCGCCTGTAAGAAACAGTACAAAATTCATATTGTGAGTTTATGGGTTGCATAGAAAATCTGTCTAGGAATCTAGAAGTGTTAAAAGATCATTGTATATACATTATGTACAATTATACACTTAATATTGTATATTATATTGCCAAAAGTATTGTCCCCGCCCTCCCAATCATGTGATTCAGGTGTTCCAATCCCCTCCAAATCATGTGATTCAGGTGTTCCAATCCCCTCCAAATCATGTGATTCAGGTGTTCCAATCCCCTCCAAATCATGTGATTCAGGTGTTCCAATCCCCTCCAAATCATGTGATTCAGGTGTTCCAATCCCCTCCCAATCATGTGATTCAGGTGCTCCAATCCCCTCCATATCATGTGATTCAGGTGTTCCAATCCCCTCCATATCATGTGATTCAGGTGTTCCAATCTCCTCCATGGACATAGGTACATACAATCAAGCCCCTAGGCATGCAGACGGCTTCTACAAACATTGGTGAAAGAATGGGTCGCTCTCAGGAGCTCAGTGACTCCAAGCGTGGCCCCGTGATAGGTGGCCACCTGGGCAATAAGTCCATCCGTGACATTTCCTGGCTACTAAATATTCCACACTCAACTGTTAGTGGGATTATAACAAAGTGGAAGCCACTGGGAACAACAGCCACTCAGCCACCAAGTGGTAGGCCACGTCACATGACAGGGCGGGGTCAGCGCATGCTGAAGTGCACAGTGCGCAGAAGTCACCAACTGTCTGCAGAGTCAATAGCTAAAGACCTCCAAACTTGGTGTGGCCTTCAGATGAGCCCAACAACAGTGCGTAGAGAGCTTCATGGAATGGGTTTCCATGGCCGAGCAGCTGCATCCAAGCCTTCCATCACCAATTGCAATGCAAAGCGTTGGATGCCGTGGTGTATAGCACGCTGCCACTGGACTCTAGAGCAGTGGAGGCGTGTTCTCTGGAGTGACCAATCACGCTTCTCTCTGACATGGATTTCATGCTCCCAACTTTTGTGGGAAGTTTGGTGGAGATTTGGGGATGGCCCCTTCTCTGTTCCCAACATGACTGTTCCCACCACCAGTGCATAAAGCAAGGTCCATAAAGACATGGAGGAGCCAGTTTGGGGTGGAGGAACTTGACTGTCCTGCACAGAGTCCTGACCTCAACTCCATAGAACACCTTTGGGATGAATTAGAGCGGAGACTGCGAGCCAGGCCTCCTCCCCCAACATCAGTGCCTGACCTGACAAATGTGCTTCTGGAAGAATGGTCCAACCTTCCCATAGACACCCTCCTAAACCTTGTGGACGGCCTTCCCAGAAGAGTTGAAGCTGTTATAGCTGCAAAGGGCGGGGCCAACTCAATATTGAACCCTCTGGACTAAGACTGGGAGGCCATTAAAGGTCATGTGCGTGGAAAGGGCGGGGCCAACTCAATATTGAACCCTCCGGACTAAGACTGGGAGGCCATTAAAGGTCATGTGTGTGGAAAGGCCAGCGGCCTGATACTTTTGGCAATATAGTGTCAAAAGACCTACGTAACAAGGTAAGAGAACTTTATAAAGATGGAAAAGGATATGAAATGATATCCAAAGCCTTGAATATGCCAGTCTGTACTGTTCAATCACTTACTAAGAAGTGGAAAAGTATGGGCTCTCGATACAAAGCCAAGGTCAGGTCAACCAAGAAAGATTGTAGCCACAACTGCCAGGATACAAAGAAAAACCCCACAGGTGACCTCAGGAGAAATTCAGGCTGCTCTGGGAAAAGGTAGTAGGATTGGTTTTGTACAAAGATACATGAACAAAAACGAGCTGCATGGTCAAGTTTCTAGAAAGAAGCCTTTATGCACCAAAACACTGTAAAATGGGGCGAAGTCCAAGGAGAGTGAATGCAAGACATGGCAGCGAGTTCCCGTTTTTTATGTAGCTAGAAGATATTTGCCTGCTGACTGTCCAGTGACATCACATATTGGGTTCTATTACTGATCAGAATGGATTTGGGTTCTCACCTTGATGCTGGCGCTGACATTCTGGGCACAAAGGATGGGATCAGACAACACCCAGGACAGGAGCAGCACGGAGTCAATGAACAGCAGGGCGGCCTGTAGACCCAGCAGGGTCAGGTCCTTTATAATCTGCAGGATGAACACAGGATCAGTGATACATCATAAGAGGACCTGTCACGGCACTGCTGCTATTCCTTCTCTGTAAATGTGAGACCTGCCAAAGCTCAGCTCCGCAG